AGGAGAGACAGCCAGGAGAGAGAGCATGGAGAGACAGCCAGGAAAGAGAGAGAGGAGAGACAGCCAGGAAAGAGAGAGTGGAGAGACAACCAGGAAAAAGAGAGAGGAGAGACAGCCAGGGGAGGGAAGAGAGACAGCCAGGAGGATGAGCAAGGAGAAAAAGCCAGGACAGCAGGGGGGAGACAGCCAAGAGAGAGAGTGAGGGAGTTTTTTTTTTCCGTTGGTCGATCTCATGTAGCTCGTCATTTGAAAAGTAGATCTTAAAACACAAAAATTGTGGGCACCCCTGATCTACGGAAACATTGTATCATATAAAGCTTTCTATGAAACTCCAGCATCGTCTCAGAGGGTTCAATGTCCTCTTGTGGTGGAAAAGTGCAAATTCCCTCTTCATTGTTTATACTTCTATGGTGTCTGTTTTTTATTTCCACGGTTATGCACAAAGCTGCCGAAGGCCCACCGGAGTGACTACCTGTAATGCAGCTGCCTCTAGCAGCTCGTCGGCCTCTCGGCATGTGGGGGTAGCTCCGCCTACCCTCCAGTGACGTCACACCGCCAGGTAATTAAATTGCTTGGCGTCAAAGCAATGAAGCTGATGCCGGGCAACGCTGGCTCCTGTCTTGCGGGTCACACGCTCCTCCTAATCCCCACACGGTGTAGTGAGAAGCTTGGGGGGAGAACAACTCCTTCTGTTTGCTGCCGATTAGGATTAGTGATGAGCTCGGGCGTGTTCGCAGCGCCAATCACAGACACTGAGACATTTCCTGATCTCTACTGCTGCGGACCGGGAACAGCTGACAGCGCGCAGCGCCAATCACAGGCACTGAGACATTTCCTGATCTCTACCGCTGCGGACCAGGAACAGCTGACAGCGCGCAGCGCCAATCACAGGCACTGAGACATTTCCTGATCTCTACCGCTGCAGACCGGGAACAGCTGACAGCGCGCAGCGCCAATCACAGGCACTGAGACATTTCCTGATCTCTACCGCTGCAGACCGGGAACAGCTGACAGCGCGCAGCGCCAATCACAGGCACTGAGACATTTCCCGATCTCTACCGCTGCAGACCGGGAACAGCTGACAGCGCGCAGCGCCAATCACAGGCACTGAGACATTTCC